GAAGAATACGTCCTCTTCTGCATTGCTTGCAATTGCTTTGCATTCAACATCCAACAAAAGGCATTAGTCAAGAATTGCTCCCTCATATGCAAAGACGACGGCAACTTTACTAGAGTGTTTGATCGACAAATAGGCAATGAGTGTGGCATGTAAGAGGAGGACAACGTGATGCAGTGGTTGGGTGTGGAGCACCTTCAAGAGTGGCAAGTAGGAATGAATTCTACTAAACTTGAACGTCTGCATTCGGTAAGGCTACAATTTAAGGCCTCGTCCAGTGTCCAGCCAGTGCACTTCCCATCCCTAATGTAGCTCGTTAATAGAAGGGGATAGGGACATTGCATACTTGTGGCAAGCAATGGTGATGCTGGCATCAACTGTCTTCTCATATATATGAGCATTCAAAGACGGGGGTTAGGAGTTCATGGTTAGTCTTCTAAGCACCGACCGCTGAGTAGTAATGGAGGCGGAACATTGACCAAGGTAATTAGTATTTTCTTCAAGAATGTGAAGCTGTGGTGTGGCATTCGAACAACACCTTTAAACACTTCGCCTTTCCGTCCAGTAATCGAGCATTATTTTCACGGTATTTTGAATGATTACAAATTCGGGGAAAACTTGGATAACACCATCGCGTAAATAGCAGTTGTTCATCAGCATTAGCTGATTCGGTAAATAACAAATTAAAAGAAGTTTTCAATCTTTAAATGGCAAGTGAGAAGCCTCATGCCGAGGTATTGGATCCATATGTAGTATGAAAAAGGAGAAAAATCAGACCTGATGCTGCACAAATCATTTTTGGTACCTAAATATTTTCTGTATTACAGTATCCGTATGAGCTAAATGCGTATTTGGATACTTTCATTAAATCATAACTGCATCAATCAGCCAAATAACCTAAAAAAGCTTGTAAAGAAACCTTACAATGCTTAATTTTTGCTGATTTCAAACGAAAGTATCAAATTCTAGAACTAAATGAGGTTGTTTTGCTCAATACGAAATATGTCTAAAGATTTTGGTTCAAAGAAATGAAGGAAAACTTAATTTTGCCTAGCCGCCACAACATTGTACTCTATATGTCTCAATGGTAAGACGAGAAAGCATTAATTTGTGTATGAATGTGTTTTTTTTTAATTACACGTTTGCTTGAATTAGGGTCTTTAAGAGGTGGACATGTTGTCCAGCCTGCATCTCACTGATCCACCTTTGCATGCTGTCCGTTCTAAGAATGCTGTCAAAATTAGCAAGCCCACTAACGGCTGAAAAGCTCATTTCCGCAGCGTGGAAGCTTGAGCTCAACCAAACCCGTAGTTCAAATCTACGAACAA